CCCTGGTTGCCTTCACAGTATCCATGTGTCCAGCTTGGGAAGGGGACTTCAGGTTTCTGATCAATATCACAATCCTGTGAGATTTTTGTGAACACTTGAACACAAGCTTCAGATAGCTACACGTGTCTGATTTTTGTCCGTCATACGTTATTTTTGGCGGCTGGCTATACGGGTAGCAGGGGACCCGAACCCTTGACCTTGGTGTTGCAGGGAACCAGCTGAGCTGACCAGCCAGCCCATTGCTGTGTTACTTTTATCAGAACATTTTCGAAGAGTAGGGAGTACTTAGTTCTGCGCACTACCTCTGCTCTCTCTCGTTTCTTATGTTTTTTCCACTTTAGCATCAGGAAAACAAAAGGTTGGCTACTAGTTATTAGTAGCAAAAAGTAAATCTTATATCTCTTGATAAATATTAAAATGTATTTTTAAAATATTTTCTATACTTGAATTTAAATCATTGATTAGTGTCTAAAAAAACCCAAAGATGTAGAAGATTATATTAATTTAGGCACAATTAAAAAATGGCATTTAAGAACTTATCAAATTCAGGGTAAGGGGTGATTATTAGGAAAGGTTTATTTTCAAACAAGAAAAAATGCATCAGAAAATTCAATGTTAGGAAGTTTTAAAGTGATTATTTTTTCCCTTCAACTGATACCTCTTCTCCCCTTTACCAACCCCTATGCCCAAATTTCTTTTTAAAATTCTTTTTGAAAAGAATGTATGTTCTTTTCCAAATTCTGTATAACTGTATAGTTAGTCTCCTTTGTGTCTCCTATTAAGTAATTCATGTGTTTATTTGTTTATTAATTCAATATACATTAAGATACTGCTTTATGTGTGGAAATACGGAGGTGAATTCATGAGTCATGATCCCTGCCCTTCGTAGAGTTTGGAATTTGGAGATGCTCCTTTACAGCCACGTAGATAGGTGGACAGACCACTGCCACTGATCGTTGTGCATGTCTGGGGATGACTCCGGGGCGGGCAGATCTACCTTCAGCTTTAGGAAGATTGCATCAAGCCTGAGCTGAGACCCAGAAATGAGGAGGGATTCACCAGGGGGAACTGCATGTCCAGAGGGTTCTGAGGGATGCAGCGTGACAGCCAGGCAGGGAGCAGCCTCGTGGGGGACCGATATGTTGTGCCAGGGGGTTCCAAGGGGCGCAGTGTGACAGCCAGACCGAGGGCAGCCTTGTCGGGAGCTTGTGTGTCGTGCGAGGAGTTAAAACTTCATTCTTCTAGGCAGAGGGGTCTCTAAAATAGCTTTTATACCAAGTTAAGAAACTCTGAGCTGATATCCCCTGTATTCGTGTAGCATGTGACAGCCAGAGTTAAAAAGTGTTGAGATAGGATCTGAGAAGTGACCATCCCCCTTTCCCTGAAATATTTCTAAGCCGTCCTGTTGCCTGGAACCTAGTCACTTGTTAGGTTTCAGCAGTGCTCAGTAGACAGGATGACTGCAGGCTCAGCTGGCACTTGAGAACTTAGACCTTTCCCTCCTCTGTCACCAACTCATTTACCATTAGGTAAATGCTCTCTGAGCCTCGGAGTCTGTCGTGTGAAATGTAGATAATTGTTCTTACATTTGCTTGCCTCCTGGGACTACTTCTTCATATTTATAGCTGCAAAATACTTTGCAGTCATTTTTATTAATAGTTACCAGATGTGTCATAAGTATTAATGAACTTATGATCTGAAAGTTTTGAGCTCCTGAAACCAGAGGCAGCTGCCTGCACAGGGGATATGTAAAAGAGCTTGAAGATGCAAACAATACCAATTTGGAAACTTGAGCGGTTATGTGTGAAGGACAGACGGCACAGTGACAGTTTCAGTACACTTTGTAGGTGTATGTAGCACTCTTAAAAAGGTTGCTGAATTCATCATGGGCCAGTGCCAAATATAGAAGGCTCTGTCCCCCCACCCTGCATGCACACACGCACACGTGCACAGATACATGCATGCACACATGCACATGCATGCACACACACGTGCACACTCAGACACATGCGCACACTCAGACACGCACGCGCGCACTCAGACACACACGCGCGCACGCACTTTTTGCTTCCCCGCCCCACACCCGTCCTGTCTGGGTGTCGTCTTTGACTGTTCCCCAGTCTCTGCAGCCAGTTGTTTCAGCTGTTGACTGGTCTTCTTCATATCCCTGAACTTTGGTCTCTGTCTCCTCTTCCTCTCACCATCTATGTTCTGCTCTTATTAGCTCTACACCAAACCGTTGAATTAACTTCTTAGTTGATCTTGCTAAGTTTAGTATCCCCCCCCATCTAAGGATAATCATCAAAGTCATAGTTGTGGTCACAGCTTCATTCAGTAGCCTGGGAAAGCTCTTAGCTGCTTGAAGTTCAGCCATGAGCTCCCCAGGCCGCCTCCACATGGCCGTGACCTTTGTTCCCTCTGCCCAGTGCAGGTCAGTCCATGGGTCTCCCTTCCCCAAGATCTGGCAGAGTGAGCAGCTTTCCCAGGGTAGACAAGCGAATGCAGGGAACACTTTGGGCACGAAGGGGGCTCTACTGCAATCCTGCCTCGGTCATGCCACTCGAGGTGGCTGCAAAATAAAACCACCCTCATCTGGTATTCTAGACGTTCTGTTTGCGATCCCCTCCTCCTCTGAAGCCTCTCTGCTCTTGAAACTCCCCTTCTAGTATCCGTCACCTTCCTTCATGTTAGTCATCTGCTCACGGGTCCCTCACCCCTAGATTGTCACTGAGAGCCCAGCCCCTCCCTTCCTGCCCACGGCACTGGCTGCAGGGCCCTGTATGTGGTAAGACCTGATGAAATCTTTGATGCACTGAATTCATACATGGAGAGTCAGAACCAGTGTTGTGGTCAACCTGGTCCTGAAAAGCATTTCAGCAAATATTTACGAAGCATCTGCAGGAGTTTTCTAATCACAGAGTCATAAAGGAAAATGTGAATTGCTTCCATGTTCTACTTAGAAGGGCTAGAATTTTGTCATTTAGAAAAGGTTTTGTCCTAGGTGGTTACTGTTCCATTATTGGTGGAGTTTTTACATTTTTATGCTTTAAAGGGGTACGTTTCACCTTAATGGAAGTAATTATTCCACATTCTTGTCTATTTTTACTAAGATCTAACCGAAGAATGTAAGTATTGGAGTTTGTGCTTGAGAAACTTTTTTTCTGCCTTTACTGAGAAATACCTACATACTCTGAACACCTTCGCATTTGGGGGACTTTAGATGCTGTAGGGAAAAATAAAGATGCAGACAGCCGCCCCTGTACTCCAGGATGTGAGGTGGAGTGAGGACACATGCCTAAAGCCATGCATGACTTCCTGAGGGGCTGACAGTGGGGCCGATGTGGACGGCCAAGCTGTACCAGTGGTGAAGAGCCGCGTGTCGGGGCCGAGGTAGAGGCTGGAGGCCCTTGTCATGCACAGTGGCCTTGCTGCCACCAGGCCATCCTCTCCATTCTGCCGCGACAGCCGACATTTTGTCTGTCTGGAACACGCCTCTGATCCTGGATCTCCCTGGTCTCCAGCCAGAACCGTCCCCCCCCACCCCCCCTGTGTTTGCAGGGTAAAGCGTGTACCCTTCAGTGCATGCCCTTGGTCCTTACATCTTTTTAAGCCTTATCTTGTGGTTTCCTACTGAGTCACCTCTCCTCTGTGCCTTTTCTCAAATCCTACCACTGTTCCCTCACCTTCTAGCACTTTCCTTCCAAATGCAGTCCCATGGCACATGTGGCTGTAATGGTACCCATTGCCAAAATGAGTTTATTTTGTTCTTGTGACCTCAGGTTAATACCATACTAAGTGGGCCGTCTGGTTCCCCCTGGGCTCCTCTCCCTTTGGTTAAGGTGTGGGCTCCCCGACAGGAAGGGAGGCTCGGCTGGTCCAGCCTTGTGCCCACGGACTGTCTGGAAGGCCTTCACTGCATACTAGCCTCAGGTGTCCAGGTGCACACGGAACCAGAAGCAGCTGGGTTGCTTAGGGCCTGAGGGAGGGAAACTTACAGGTGGGGCAGCTCCGTCTGTAGGCAACTTAAATTACACAATAGAGTAGGGACCAGCTGTTCCCTGAGGATCCAGCAAGAAAAAGCAGCTCATCCTGGGCCTGTCCTGCCAGAGGTGAGCAGAGGGGACAGAGGCAGAGGTGGATGACTCCTGCTTCCTTCCAGAGACGGTCACATTTGCCATATCACTCAGCATCTTCAAAATGAATTTCTGATTCCTTCTCCTCCTCTGCTTCTCTGTTGCTTATCCAGGCTCTCATTTGGGGGATTTTTTTTTTTTTTAATGCCCTTTGAACCATGTGTCCATAAGCCATGAAGTCCTTTCTTGTGATGTTGCTTATGTCCTGTTTATTAGAGAGCTCCTGTCCCTCTTACGTGCTCTCTTGCTGGAATCTCCTTACTGGTTTGCCTGCTTGGACTTCTCTCCAATCAACTGAGTTCCTCTGCCAGGTTAGTCCTGCTAATCTGCCGCATCCTCCTTGCTCAGGACTTGGTGGTGCTCACCCCCTGGTTAGGCACCCAAAGCCTCCCATGTATCCCTGCCTGCTCTGTCTCTGCATAACCGCTGGCTTCCTTCCTTCTCACTTCCTGGGACCCCACGTTGCCATGAGTCCTCTTGGCCATCGAGGCTTGGTGTGGCTTCTACCCACTGCCTGAAGTCTTTCCGGATTGTTCCTGTCCCAGTCACTTCTCCACCTAGGGTCTTGTCATGTTGTCTGTACAGAACCACCCTGGTCAACGTGTGTGTCTATGATTGCAGAGAGGTGCGGGCCAGTGCTGAGCACACACGTGTACTGTTCAGTTCAGCATGAGTCTTGCTTCCCTGGTCAGGGATGAGCCCCTGGTGGGGTCCTCATTTCCTGTCTGGCATGGAGCCCCTGGTGCTTGGGTGCCTGATTGGCAGTGACGTGGTGTCAGAGTCGCAGAGAGTTGTAAACGTTCACCTTGGAGTCCTCCTGGCACTCTCCAGTCTGTCCCATAAGAAGCTTCTCCAGCTGATCCCTCTCCCGTGCCCAAGATCATAGTGCAGTCTGCCTTCCTGGATGCCTTGATGACCAGGATGCAAGAGGTGACTCCATCAGCCGCTGGCGCCTGCCCCACATACAGCGTGTCTGAAATTGTTTGGTCCATACCACAGTTTTTGTCTTAGCGTTCCTGTTTTGATAATTAACTGTAATATAGGTCACTGTCTTCTCCCTCTGTATTCTCCTTGTTATACACTTTTCTATTTTCAACTTGTTAATCATATGATTGCTAAACTTTTCGGTGCTTGCCTGCTAATAGAGTCTGCGGCTTTAATAGCCCACTGCTAGGCAAAGGAGATTTCTATAAACAGAACAATTTTCTTCTTCCAAGTGTCTGCTTAATTCTCAGTTTTACATTTCATCCTGATACATGATCTCAGCGTGAAAAGACTAATGCTAAGCTGGGGAGAAAATAGTCTCTTATGATCTCCTGCAGCTCAACAGCACTTCTGATCTCATGAGTAGCCAATCTTTTTTCTCCCACCGTGCTTCCATTTCTCTTAGGAAATGCTCTCTCTTTGCAGATTTTATTTATTAAAACAACAGCAAAAAGGCCCCAGTAATTTGAAAGAAAAGTCAGACCTCCAAGAATTCGCTCATTTCTAAAAGGCCCTTTTACTCTGGTGTGTGCTTGGTGTTCACGCATTTGGCTGCAGATGGTCTCGTGGGGCCCCCTCCCCTGCTGATACCAGGCCAGGGGAAAGGAGGAGCAGGGCCTTGCCAGCAAGGGCAGCCACCCAGCCAGCCTTTGTGCTCTTTGTGCTGGCTTCCTCAAGTCTGGGCTTTCACAGAAGTCTCTGGAAATGTCTCGCTCCACAGTAAGGGTATAATCCAAAGGTGGCAGCTAGGTTTCAACTTGCATGTGGACTGCGGTCGCATGGCATTGCTCGGAGGCTGCAGTCAGGTGGCATCTGCCATCTGTGGTCTGTGTCACTGCACCTCTGACCCCCGATCCCTGCCTGTTCACTTACTGGGGCCCTGGGTAAGCCCTTTAACCTCTCTGAGCCATGCTAATGCTTCCTGCCCAGCCTTGCCAGTGATTCCTGTGGAATCCTCCGGGGTCATACCTGTCATCTAAGGCGGAGTCGCTGGAGTGCCACCTTGGGACCTGCCCCACCGCCCTGGGCAGCAAGAATGGCACCAGTCGCGACTGGGCCTCACCTGGTGGGGAGTATGGAACGGAAGCTGTTTCAGGACCTTGGATATTGTCCAGATTCTCGACTCGTAGTTTTGTTTGCGTATTCTTCCCTGCATGGCCAGAGATATTGGTACTAAAATAGAAGAGAATAAACAAAACATGTACCAGTTGCAGAAGAAGAGTGATTGAAGGATTGACTAATCTTTTAGAGTATTTATGCTGGTGGAGTTATTGATCTATTGGATTGAGTAAATTTTGCAGCCTAGAGGGTCCATCACAAAAATGGGCTGTTAATCTCAAGAGGTGCCGTTAATTTCATACCCTGAAAGTGCGCCTTGTGGGGAAAAGAGGGCCTCTGGAAACAGGAATATAAATGACAGTTCACGGGAAAATGCGTGATTTATCAAACTGTTGAGTTAAGCCAAGTAACTGTAAGAGACTTATAGATTGCAGCTGTTTCCCAGTTCAAATAAATCCTGTATTTCAAATGGAAAATGACCATTCCTGTAATATAAATAATTTTCCTGTAAATATTGGAAAACATATTTCTTTCTCTGAACGTCGCCCCTCTCTTCCCCACCCACCTTGCCCGCCCCCTGTTCCTGCTTTCTCCTCCCCATCACTGTGACCAGGGAAGGGTCACCTGCCGGCTTCTGCACATGGCTCATCTTATGAACCAGAGAACATCGTACATGCACCTCAGAAACACTAGGATTTGGACAAGCAGTGGCTGTCGCCATCACCATGAGGCATGGGCTTTGTGTGTGTGTCCCCTGCCCAGGTGACAGAAGGGGGAGAGGCCAGCCCAGCAGCTCCTCCTAGCTGGTCCCTAGGATCAGAGGCCCCCATTTTCTGACATGGGTCTGGCCTGCCACAGCAGCCAGAAGAACAGCCTTGTAGAGAAAGGGCCCCAGCCGCGGGGAGCCTCTGTCCCCCTCCATATCCCCTTGACTGCTAGCAGGGAGCCCCGGTCAGGTGGCAGGCCGTGGCTGCTCTTCCTGTGCTGAGCTGGTGACGCTGCTGCGGCACTTTCAGATGCTCTGATGACGTCATCATTTTGATTTTGCTGGAGACAGTGCTCTTCTGGCCTCTTTAGTGATTCTCTCCTTCTCTTTGTGAGGTTGGGGGTGGGCAGGGGATCTGTTTCCAGGGAAGCAGGGTGTCAGCCTGAGCACCGGGAGGCCGTGCTGGGGCAGTGAGGCTGTCGTGTGCATCTACTGGCTGCTGTCCCATGTCGTGCCATGCAGTCCCTGCGGGGCAGGTGTTTCATGAGGAAGATGGAGAGATGGCAGGGCAGGGCCGTGGCACACAACAGGGGCATGTGGCTGGAGCTGATCTGTCCGCCTGCAGAGGCAGGCCCTTTCCCCATCAGAGCTGAGGTGTCCCACATGGCCCTGACCCTGCTGCTAAGCCGTGTACCTCCCTTTCCACAGGCCCAGCGAGAGGGCGTGGGCCCCGGCCCTGCTATGCTGGTGCGCCCGATGGCCCCCACCATCAAGATCTGCGACCCCCCAGCCAAGGCGCCTTCCCCACCGCCCATCGTCGCTGTCACCCCAGCCTCGGAAGGGCAGGACGGGCCCCCTAGCCCGCTGAGTGAAGCCTCCAGTGGGTACTTTTCCCACAGTGTCTCCACTGCGACCCTGTCTGATGCGTTGGTCCCCAGCCTGGATGCCATGGCCCCGGCTGGCAGCCAGAATCCTGGCTCACCCCCTGCACCCCTCTGCCAGGCTGCCCTGGAGGCTGAGTCCCTGTTTCCACCTGTGGCTTCCTGTGCCCAGCTGCAGGGTCCCAGCAGCCACCTGTCACCACCAGTTCCCACAGAGCCAGCTGCTCAGCCTCCCATGCCTGCCCCCCAGCTGGAGGCCCCCATCCAGCATCCCAGGGGTGAAGCTCTCCTGGTCCCCAGGCAGCTGGGAAGACCCCTGGCCCAGGCAAACGCAGCCCCCAGCTCAGATCTGCCCCCGGACCTCCAGTGCCAGGCACCTGCTCCCACCTCCCCGTTCAGGATCCGCAAGGTGCGGACGTCAGAGCTGAAGTCATTCACCCGCATGCTGGGCGGGGGCTCTGGCTGCTCCCCTGGTGCCCAGGGTGAGCCACTGGCCTCAGGAGGGCTGGATGACGGTGGCAATGGGGGACAGGTCCAGGGCAAGCCAGAGGGTGCCTCCGATCCCGAGGAAGCTGGCGACATCCCAGAATGGCTCAAAGAGGGAGAGTATGTGGCCGTGGGCACCAACAAGACGGGCACCGTGAGGTACATCGGGCCGATCGACTTCCAGGAGGGCACGTGGATCGGCGTGGAACTTGACTTACCCGCAGGTGAGTGGAGCTAGTCCACGACAGGTGCTGGCACCACAGGTGACTCCTGGGCTGATGTGGCCTGCCAGGGAAGCACCGCCAGGATGCGTGTGTGCCTGGGCACATCGTCGGACCTCTCTGAGCCTCCCACTGCCACTTTTCAAAATCAGTTTTCTATAGATACAAGTTTCCTTGTGTAACCTCCTGAAATTTCACAGAAACCCAAGACAGTCAGTGAAAGCTACTATACATTTGGTAATGATTTTAAATGCACTTTTTTTTAAGCCACAGAAGCCTCTGCATTTGAAATATAATAGTAGCCACATCTGCTGTGTTTGCTGCGATTGCTCCCAGCTGTTGCTGGGACGTCCCTGGCTACTGGCCGACGGGCTGGGAGCCTCAGGAGGCAGGAAGAAGCTCCCACAAGAGCAGTGGGCCTCACAGTGGCCCTAAAATCTGAGGCAGGACTTCAGGGATACTTTGTCCTTCAGAAGGTTTTTTGTTATTTGTTTTTAAGCAGCTTTTTTGAGATATAGTTTATATACCATAAAATTCACTTGTTTGAAGTGTACGATTCATTAGTTTTTAGTATATTTACAGAGTTGTGCAGCCGTTGCCATGATCTGACTCTAGAACAGCCCAGAAAGAAACGTGATGTCCAGCAGCCACCCCACCCCCAGCCCCTCGCAACATTCAGCTACTTCTTGTCTCTAAATTTACTTGAAACGTGTAGTCTGGACTCTGCTGTAAATGGAATCAGGCAGGGTGGCTGCCGTGTCCGGCTTCTTTCCCTTAGCACAGTGTTATCTAGGCATGTCCATGCCACACAGCACTGCCAGTGCTTGTTCCTGTCTTGGCTGAATTCTGTGCCACACTGGGTCACTTCAGCGGTTCTGAGTGACGGGGCTGTGAGTGTCCGCCTGGACGTCTGTGTGTGGACGCAGGTCTTTGTGTCTGTGCCGGACGATTGAGCATTGCCAGGCACCGTGTGTTTTGCCTCCATCTGCAGCGGCTGCGCCTCGGGTATCTGGGGTTGCAGTGAGGTGGGCAGGGGTGTCACATTGCAGAGACACAGCGGAGGGTGGGAGCAGCGAGGTACTCCATCAGAGCAGAGCTGGGGGAGCTTTAGGAAAAGCAGCACTGGGAACATAGTGGGAGGCAGGGGTCACAGTGGCCCAGCAGGAAGTGATTGTGATCGGATGCTGCCACCTGAGGGAGGAGCTCCTCTGTCACACTGTCGGGATGCTCGACCCACCCTGGGCTACCTGCTGGCTGGGGCAGGGCTGCCGATGTCGGAGTGGGCTTCTGGTGGAGCCCAGTGGGGCCTGCCCCAGCATCTTGGCCACCTGAGGGCACCTGCCTGTCCCTGGCTGCAGACCCTGTGCCTCCTTTGTCTCCAGCCCGTGAGCTTCACTGTGAAGTCACTCACTGCCTTTAGAAATAATTTGGCAGACAATAGCTTGAATTAGAAGTGGTTCAGATTAATGCAGTGCAGGCTGGAAAATGTTTAAAAATGCATTTCTGCTGAAATGCAAAGGGGAATTTGGAAAGAAGTTTATTTCTGCATTTGAGCTCACCAATTAAAGGGGGGTTAGCAAATAATTTTAATTCATACAGCAAATAATAATTGAGCACCTCCTATTCTAGATTCCAGATTCTGAGGATACCTCAGTGAGCAAAACAGAGTCCCTGATCTAACTGGACTTTTATTTTGGAGGGGAGATGAACAAATAAATAGAATTTTGATAGTAGTAAATGGCATGAAGAAAATAAAATGGGCTAAGGGGATAGAGGATGTTGCATATAGGGTGTGTCCTAGCTGGTATTAAGGGAAGCGAGGGCACGAGCAATGTGAGGGGAGGGCCTGGGGCAGGTGCAGCCCAGGGGTCCTGCCTGCTGGAGGCAGAGCCGAGCCACCTGCCCATGAGGAACACGAGCTGCATGGTGGCCAGATCACAGAGGGTTTTGTGGCCCTGTTAGGGAACAAAGGATGACTCGAAACGAGTAGAAGATTTAAAAAGATCACTGTTGTGGAGATTGGACTTGGGGTAGTGTGGAAACAGGAAGGCCACCCGGGAGGCTGGTGCAGACGTCCAGGCCAGGGGTGTCCGGCTCAGAGATGGTGGCTCAGCCTGGGGACAGCCGTGGAGACGGTGACAACTGGTCAGTCAGGGAGAGAGGGACTGGAAGGGTGGGGCGCTGCTGTGGACACACAGTTGGGGCTGGAACATGGCTGAGGGGCCTCAGGGCCCAGGATACGGTGCTGGTGTGTCCGGGTGAGGGATGGCAGTGTCCAGGAGGAGAGAGGTCATCCTTGGGGGCGTGGCCATGCCAGTCCAAGTGCGGCTGGCGAGGCGGGGCCAGAAGATTCCTGATGACTTCTGCTCTGGGCGTCCCACCCCATTCCCCCCCACCCCCCACTCTCCCGGGGCTCTGTTTCGTCCCCTTCTGCAAACATTTCTTGTTTACACGGGAAAGCCATCTTCACCCTGTCTGAACACATCCAGAATGGCATGGGAGTGGCTGTCATTTGGGTTTCCCTTGAACTGATTTAGGAACAAGAGTCACTCTACTGCTGCCGTCCTTCCTAGGCTGACCTTGCCACCCTCAGATGAGAAATAACCTGTGCCCCGGGTGGGGGCGCTCTGCATTGGTAGCTGGGTGTCCCTGGGCTGTAGCACCTCCCCCGCCAGGGGCTGTTGCCCACCCCTGAGGCTGCAGGACTGGGGCAGCCCAGGAGTGTCAGTCCTTGCTGACCACTGCTTGCTGCCCCAGGAGATGGTCATCCGGGCCCTGCTGGACAGCAGCCAGTGCCCGTGAGCCACCTGCGAGGGGCCTGTGCCCAGCAGTGGCACAGAGGTGGCCGTCTGGGGACACTGTGTCAGCGTCCTCTCCTCCCCGCAGGCAAGCACGATGGCTCGATCGGAGGCAAGCAGTACTTCAAGTGCAGCCCTGGCCATGGGCTGCTGGTGAGGCCCGACCGCGTCCGCAGGGCCCCCGGGCGGCGGCGCAGCACAGGGCTGCGACCTGAGGCCCGCCGCAGCGCCACCCTCTCGGGCTCTGCCACCAACCTGGCCTCACTGACGGCCGCCCTGGCCAAAGCTGACAGGAGCCACAAGAACCCCGAGAACCGGAAATCCTGGGCCAGCTGAGCCGCCAGCCAGTGACCACCTAGAGGAGCTGGGCCCCTGCAGCCCCTGCAGGACAGCCTGGGCAGCTGGGAACAAGGCCTTTGCATGACACCGGGCTGGTGACCTCCCCGGAGGAGGAGGGGGAGGTGGCAGCAGCTGAGCCTGTGGGCACGGGAAGCTCCAGGAGCTGTAGGGAATGTTCGTTGCTGGTGCCTTTTCCTCTGTTCTGGGCCCCCCTTCATGTCTGAATCTAAACAGCGATCCTCACTGTGCCTTTCCTCGCCCCCGCAGGGCTCCCCTCGGCCTGGAGGCCCAGTGCCCCCTGCCCTCGCCCCTCGGGCTGCCTCCTGGGCTAGGCTTTGCTGTGTGCAGGCACACCTGGCCCCCCTGACCCGCTGCTCTCCATGGGGTTTCTTAGCGGTTCCTGTGCGGGTGTTTTAGCATCTCTGCACCTGGAAAGTCTTCTGTTTGCCATATATTCCCTTAGCAGAA